GGTTGAAGAAAGCGCACGCCTTGTTTCTTGATCGATTGTCTAGCCTAGTGAATGATACTTCACTTCAAAAGGAATGCCAGAAGGAACACGATGAGATGAAGAAAACTAAAAGTAATGGCATGTTGCAGAACGATGATGGTGAAACTATTCAGTCCGGGGAGAGTCAAAAGGAATGTCAGAAAGAACACGATGAGACGAAGAAAACTAAAAGTAATGGCATGTTGCAGAACGATGATGGTGAAACTATTCAGTCCGGGGAGAGTCAAAAGGAATGTCAGAAAGAACACGATGAGACGAAGAAAACTAAAAGTAATGGCATGTTGCAGAACGATGATGGTGAAACTATTCAGTCCGGGGAGAGTCAAAAGGAATGTCAGAAAGAACACGATGAGACGAAGAAAACTAAAAGTAATGGCATGTTGCAGAACGATGATGGTGAAACTATTCAGTCCGGGGAGAGTCAAAAGGAATGTCAGAAAGAACACGATGAGACGAAGAAAACTAAAAGTAATGGCATGTTGCAGAACGATGATGGTGAAACTATTCAGTCCGGGGAGAGTCATATCAATCCATGGTCGAGCTCTACCATAAAAGATCTAGTGATGAAGACTAATAGCCAGATTATGAAATATGAGGTGGGACAGTTTGGTTGTTACATTTTGAAAATGTTTGCCTTAATTGGTATGAAAAGTCATGGTTTATTTGTAATATCTTCTACTTGTTTCAGGGATGCCATTCAAGTTCTAAAGCTTACCCAAGAAAAGTGGCTTTATCTTTGCAGAATTCATCAAGAAATAAGATTGTTGAGATAGGTGATTGTAGTTATTCTGGTTTACTCTTTCCTACTGCTTTATTCCCATGGTCAAACTAGCTCCTTTTTGAGTTTGCAGATTTGGAGAAAGGCTTTCTGTTTGTTTGGTGATCTAATTTAATGATTAAGAAGAAAAAAGAGTCAAATGAGAATTTTGTTTGTCCGTTTATCTTGTTCGCTCAAGATGTAGGCACGATACTAACTTAACCAGCTTCAACTCTTTTGACCTGAGCTCGAAGGCAAATCTCCGATAAATCATATAATTATAGTAATCCTCTTGCATGCTAGGTCCGGACAAATTTTAGGAGGCGGATTTTCTTATTGTCCTGATTATGATACACAGGTGGAATAAAGTATCAGATCAAGGGATGTGCGGGACAGGGTGGTTTCGCTCAAGTTCATAAAGCATACGTCAACTCTAATCCTGATGACGTCGTTGCATTAAAGGTACTTTTCAATTCAGTAGTCTCCACGTTGATATTTCGTCTGTTTATTTTAATAGCTTCAAAATCTCTTGCAGATACAAAAGCCCCCTTTCCCTTGGGAGTTCTACATGTATCGTCAACTTGATCGACGCATCTCAGCTGAAGAAGTATGCCATTTCCTGCTTCTGTTGAGTGTTGTGTTTTTTGGTCTCTGCTGCTTTTGCATATTTACTCATTCTTGATATATCATGTTAACAGAGGTCAAGCTTTGGTTTCGCACATGGAGTGCATCTTTATACTAACTGTAGCATACTTGTCTGTGACTATCTAGCTAATGGGACGCTTCAGGTTAGTTAATACTTTATAGCATGTGATATGTACGTGGGTATCTTGCATAGTCTATATCATAATTATGCTGACATGAAACTATTGTGTAGGATGCAATAAATTCTTATGTAGTTATTGGAAAGTCCATGGAAGAAGTATTATGCATTTATTACACTATAGAGATGCTCTACATGCTTGAAGCTTTGCATGTTGCTGGTATCATTCATGGTGATTTCAAGCCTGACAATATGCTAATCCGTTATGCTAGGTAACAAGCTCTTCCATTGTGTGGAATGAAATTTGTTGCTCAGATAACGACGAAATTCTATGTTAAGTCTTTTCTGCTTCTCAACTTCCACTCTAGGTCCTAGACCTAGAATCAACCTTTTGTAGTTCACATTTTAGTCACTTATAAATCTAAGTGCCTCTGAGATTTTCTTTATAATTTTTACACTTGAATACGGTTTGAAATCCATTGTCAATGGCCATATTAGGAAATTCCTGATTCAGGTTTACTATTTTGCATTATGTGCACGACTGGAACTTGACAAAATCTGTTGTTCAAGGAAAGAAATTCAAAATGAAGAGAAACAATAAAAGTATTGTGCTAAGAAACATATCTCTTAAGGAGGTGCTGCCCTATGATTGTTACATTGCTGTTGACCTTCTATTTTGGCCTTTTATTAGATGTTAAAGTACTACATGCTTTTTGGTGATAAATAAGTCGAATGAACCCTAGTACTAGGAGTAGTTGATATCTCCAAGTTGTTACTCAGTCATTCTGAATAGCTAATCATGTAGGAACCATGTTTGTTGGTTTAACGTAACATAGAGTTACTAGAGAAAAAACTACAAGTTTAGGGAACCTTTTCATCTGTGTAATAATATTGAAACTTGGCCCTTGCGGTGTAACCATTTCTAATGAACTTATTAGTTTATGGCAGCTTTCTGTGACATATATCACCTGTTTTTTGTTTGGCAGGGATGATCTAGTAGAAGATGCATTTCCTGACAGAAGTGGTCCTTGGCGTGATCAAGTTCGTTTTGTTTACATCAAATACCAATATTTAGTTTGAGCTTTTCTTTTCTTTTCTTTTTTATTTTTTTCTTCTTTAAAGAAATTAACAAGAGCACTTCATGCAGGGTCTTTGTCTTGTTGACTGGGGAAGGGGAATAGATCTGCATCTTTTCCCTGATGGTACTGAATTTAAAGGAGATTGCAGGACTTCAGGCTTCCGTTGTGTTGAAATGCAACAGAAAAGACCATGGAAATTTCAGGCAAGCTCAGACTTTTACTAGCGTTACAAATGCAGTTACCTGTGCCATACAGTATAGACTAACTTGAAACTAATCCTCCCTGTCACTTCTCACCAGGTAGACACATATGGTCTCTGTGCTATTGTTCATCTGATGCTTCATAATTCTTACATGGACATTCAAAAGAAACCCGCACCTGATGGTGGCTATATTTATCTTCCCATGTCATCTTTTAGACGGTATTTCATCCATTTCTTCATACATCACTTTCTACATCATGGCTTGTAATCCTGAAACCTGAGCAATTACTGTATTCATGTTTTTCTCTCACCATAATCCGACTTATATTGTGCTCCTTGAATTTCACTTTGTAGATATTGGAAGGTTGATCTCTGGAAGAATCTCTTCACTAAACTTCTCAATACTAGCGCCAGCGACAATGACACGCAGTTATTACGGGATTTAAGAGAGTCCTTCCACGATTACATGTGCTCAAACCCTAAGCTCATACAGAAGCTGAAAGAATTGCTGGTGAAGCAAAGAGCTTCATTGTGTTCTGCTTAGTGTCATCTTTGATTATATGAATCTCTAAACTTATGGTTGAGTCTCTTGTATAGATCTACTTCAAGATTCGTGTACATCCCAACTAAAATTACAAACCCCTGTTGTAAGCTTCCTGATGTTTCTTTCTTTCTTCAAAACTAGAAATAATTAATGAAGCGGGTGTATTTGAACCTATTGGAGATGGGCGTAGAATTCCACCTGGCTAAACCTGCCAGCACTTTCGATAATGTAAATCTTGACCATGATATTATCATCTCCAAAGTGTCCAAGTGTTAAACATTGACTTAAGAATTGATGTATGAACAATGTAAAGATGACAGCTATGACAGAGATTATACATTGTTCTATTTCAACCACCAAATACATTATGCTATACAATGTAAAGACAATCTTATGCTTGCTGTCTTTTTTTTTTCCCTTTGCCCCTTTTCCAGTTGCTGTTGTTTTCAAGGCTATTGCTTTCTCCTTCTCTCTCTCTCTCTCTCTCTCTCTCTTTTATTTTTATTTTTGTGGGGTGGGGGTGGTGCTGGTGCTGGAAATTATATAACTTATTCGATATTGTTGTCGTTTTCCGATAATTGCATTGCACGATTCTTGTCGTATGTTTTGTTGTATGTTTGCTGTTATTATCAATTATTGTTTCACAAGAATTCGCCGCACTATTGCCGTTTCTAAGTTTTACTCTCGCTTCTGTGATTTTATTGTCATTTTTAAGTTTCGTTCACGTTGTAGTATCATGAACATGCACGTTTTTATGTTCGGTTGTTTTCGTCGTTTAATTTTATATTGCTGCCATTTTTATTATTCCTGCCGGTTCATGTCAAAAGTTTCTAATCGTTGTAAACTTTCCTTGAAAAATCCTGATAGCGCACGTTCTGAAAAATTGTTTTTCACAATGTTTATTAGTGCACGTTGTTAAATCTTATTCTTCTTCTTCTTCTTGTAATGTCACTAAGAATGTGGGAGCTACTCACTTTTTAAGGGCTTCGGTGCATGGATTTTACAAAGTTGCACGACCTTGTTTCATTTTATTCGTCATGCTCCATAAACTCTTACGCTTCACAAGATAAATCGTCCATAATCTGACGGAGTTGGAGACACTCAAGGTCAGCAGAAGAAACGAGATTAAATTGAATAATAATTTGTCGTAATTCGGCACCTCTTCTTCTGTTGAACTATATTCATTTATGGTAATTAGGTACCTCTTCTTCTGTTGAACTACTCTCTCTCTCTCTCTCTCTCTCTCTCTCTCTCCTCTGTTGAACATGGTAATTGCATTACAAATCGAAGATATACAAACCGAAACCGTCAGTATGTTCGACTAAACGTGTACTCATGGATTGACAAACACGAATACCATTTTTGTTGAACTGCTCATAGATATTGATGAACACACTTATTTCGTTATCCAACATTTCTACAGAAGTACATTTTGGAATGGTGAGTCATGAAACTTCCCTGAAGTAGACCCTTTAACATATAGATGCTATTTTGGAATTTGGATTATAGATATGATAATTCAACTACTATTTATTGATTGTTATTATTTTATAATAAACTGCTCAATTCTAGCCATTGTAATACTACAGAAAGCAATTGTTACCAGAGTCTAAAGCAGTACTTCAGTAAAAAAATAAAAATAAAAATGTATTCTGCTTAGTGCCTCCTTGATCATTAATTGTCCAGAGCATTTTATTTAGCGTATTTTGTTCTCTCTCTCTCTCTCTCATGCATTATATCCCAACTATATACAAACTCCACTATTTTTAGCTTTCTGATTCTGATTACGTAAACATCTTTTGTGTGTGAAACATTATTGTAAAACTATATAGGATAACTCCACTTCAACGGAGCATGTATATCATATACATTTGCCATTTGCTAATATATAATACAGTATTTATTGGTTAGTATAGTTATCAGTACTATCTTTCTTATAATATGTCTCTTGGAAAACTGTGAAATGGAAAACAATACAGAAATGGAAAAAAAAAACAAAAAACAAAATATGACTGTGGGGAAAGTACGATGGCATGGAAGCCCAAAAGAGAGAGTGTTAGTTTTGTTAAATTCAATGGAGGGGAAAGGCTAAATTCGTAATTCATGCAAAACCCTAATTGCCATTCCTGGCTCTGCTTTGGGATGCTTCGCCTCCAAAGCAGCTGAAGAAGAAAGGTGCGTTTTTTAAGCATAAACCCTCATGGTATTTTACTTATTTTTGTTTTGTTCAGTTTGTTTGGTTAATGGGAAACTGAATGAAAAAAGAAACTAGAAAAAAATGGAGATAATCGTATTTATTTGGTTATGTGTTTATTTATTGATTTATTTTCCTGTTTTGGCTCAAATAGCCTTAGATGAGTTCATTCCCTTGTTTTGTTTAAATTTAGCGTCTTGCGCTTTTTGACTCTTAGAATTAATTAATTTGTGTTCTTGGCTTCTTGCAAATATGGTGTGTGCATATAGTTATTTATTCATTATTGTTATAAGGAACAAGTTTGATTAAAAAAAGAAAAATTTATAAAAAGAATTCCGAGTGCCTTTGGCTTTGAGTTTGGATACAAGAAGTTGATTTTCTTTTGTTTTAATTTTTTTTAAAGACTTTCATTTTTTTTATAGAAGGTTCTGCATTAATTCATCATTTGGCTTAAATCTTCATTTTGCACTGGCTTTTTATGATTAGTTTGTAAGGGAAAGAAAAAGGGCCCACTAACTCTTTTCTGAGTCCGAAATCGAATCAATGGAATATAAAAATTAATTTTTAAGTTCATATCTTTTCTGAGAATAAGATTATTAGCAACAAAAATATTATATTCCAAATTATGATATTTGAGACAAGAAGTGGACTATGTTAGACGTGAAACAAAATGCTGATTTTCTTTCTCCTAATTCATTTTCGATCCCATTTTGGAAGGACTAAAGTACAAAAATTACTAAACGTGACTTCTTGGAGCTTGGCATATATGTTTCTGTACATATTTACTTATATATATACAGTTTTTTTTTTAAAGAAAATGTACATATTTACATTCACACCTTACAAAGCTATCAGAGTTGGGTTTGAAATTTTTCTGTAGATGGAATAGTAATTCGTACATATATAAGTCCTTATAGTCTAAAGAGTTGGGTTTTGGTTGTATAAAACTGCAACACTTTTGTGTAAATTTGATATTTTATTTTATTAAAATTTTTGCTGGATTCTTTAATAAATGTTATGATCTATTAACTACAACACTGTTGGGTAAATTCTATATTTTATTTCATTAAAATTTTTGCTGGATTCTTTAATAAATGTTATGAACTGTTTTGTAAAAACTTGGACATAAATGATCACATATAATTTCTTTGATTTTGTCAGCAACTCAAAGCAGGTAATTGATGTGAGATGAGACGTAGCCTGAGAAGTTAATTTCAAAACAGAATTTTATATTATATATATATGTTTTGAAAAAAAAAGAAAAAAAGAAACTGAATTCCAATGACCATCGCTGATTAACTGTATTGGCCTTTTCTCCGTTTTTTTCCCCTGTTCCCGAACAAATTTGTCTCCTTGTTTATTCATTTTAAAGAAATCATCTTTACACATATAAATATGAATGATAAGAGGTAATGATGAATTAATATGTGGTGGTCATTTCCTTTTGAAATAAAAACAGAACATAGATTTTCTACTCTGTATAAGCAAGAACAGCAGATGCTTTTATGCTATTTACTACTACTTCTGACATCAGTGAAACAATTATTTTACCAAAGAAAACTAGCCCCTTTACCTTAATTTGCATGGATAACTTACAATCTCATTCCCCTTCAGGTGACCGGGGTTACCGCAGAATGGCGAACGCAAAGCAGCATCTATCAGTACATGAGAAGATATCCATGCACAACAGAAACCATGGTATGAACTTTTCATATGCGAATGCTGCAGGCTTGAAGATTCCTTTGAGCCTTACAACATGCCAAAGCAGTACTGGCCTCCCACATTTCTCACCGGGAGCTTGCTCCGCTAGAGGCGCGAAAGGTCTTGCTTTGCCTGATGTCGGACGGGGTATTTTCGGCGTAGCAGCAGTTATGGCAATGACAGCAGTGGCTCCTTTCAATCGAGTTAAACTGTTGCTTCAGAATCAGAATGAGATGCTTAATTCTGGTCGGCTTTCTGGACTGACTGCTTTGCCCGAACTATTAGGAATGAAGGCTTCCTTTCCCTCTGGAGAGGAAACACTGCTAATGTCATTAGATACTTCATCGCCCAGGTGAGCTCAAAATTAGCACTTGGATTAACTCTGTTTTATGTTCTCCTGGTACTTTTTTTTTTTTTTGGCTGAATGTTCTCCTGGTCCTTACTTCTTACTTATGACTTCTTAAAAATTTTGGTTCCAAAACACAAATCTTTCCAACTTCCAGCTCTAAGGTTTTTTTTTTTTTTTTTTATTATTATTTTTCTTTTTATATAAGCTTTTGAATTATGATAGTGGTTTTATACACACACACTTTCTGCGGGGCATTTTATTAGTATTTTATCTTTCTGAAGAGTTCAAATCAAAATCATATCAAACCGAACAATATGTAGATCTAATAGTTCAGAACACTACAGATTAGATAAAACACATTTTGTTTTCCGTGTGTGCCGTTCCAAAGAATTCTCCATATTTTGTGCCCTCTTATAATAACACTTGATTCTTAAAACTTGCAAGTCCCAACATTTGTTTTTAATGATTACTTAAGACGAGTTTTCTGCTCTAATAAAGACAGATTGTCATTGGAAATCGTTTGCTCGGAACCGGCAGCACAAAGTGCAGTTAGTGTTTCATCTCCATTCTTTGCCTACTCACTGGACTATGCCAACACACGTTTGGCTACTGATATCAAGGCGTCCGCCAAAGGCACTACTTGTCCCTCTATTGGCTTTGTTTGTGCCCCCGATTACGCCAAAAACAATGATATCAAGGCTGGTGAGAGGCAGTTTAATGGTTTAGTTGACGTTTACGAGAAAACCCTCAGGTCTGATGGTATTGCCGGTCTTTATCGCGGATTCAACACCGCATGCGTTGGCAAAATCGTGTTTGATGGACTCTACTTTGGAATGACCAATTCACTGATCAAGCCTGTGGTTCTCAACAGCGAGTCACCGCGGGTCGGCTCAAATATTTTGAACTCAAAGCAGCATCAACCACAACTGTTTTCAACTTCTAGTTCGAGATTGTGAGAATAAAACATGACTGTTGATAGTAGGAGCTCAAATTTCATACAATAGATAGTAGCAATCACAACTCACAAAGTCACAACTTATTAGTATTGTTTTCCCCATTATTAGGATCTGCGATTTCATGTGGAATATTCTCCGCCTTGATTTAACATACAAATGCTTTGAGAGTGATCAGCATATATACTCTCCCTTTGGTTCATTTAGTCTCAAGAGGCTTGTTTATGTTCACTTCTGGTGTCGTTTTGACTTCTTGTTTTCAGGGTAAGCACTTCATTGCAGAAGCCATGCTTCATGGCTGGGTCATTCTTGGTCTACGACTCGTCCGTTACCCTTTCGACACGGTGAGCAGAAGGATGATGATGACTTCGGGTTGTCAAGCCGTTAAATGCAAAGACTCTTACGACGCTTTTACTCGAATCATCAAGCTCCGGCGCAATGGTTTTTCCTGTTGCTGCTGCATCTGCTCTGTTGATTACTTTGGATTTAATAGTTACAATGTAGGGGTCTCTTTTATGGATAGAACAACATATTTATATATGGACGAAAAATACTATCGGTACTAATTTCCACCTAGGATTTATCTAGCAGATTTCTCTATTTATCCATGATGAGGACGAAATTTTTTTTTTTTAAAACCCACCTCTAATATATTGTACTAATTCAGTTTGCTTTATTAGTTCAAAAGTGGATTGATCTCCAGGAAAAATTCATTCACAAAACTGATCCATAGTCGTAATAACCCAGCCGAAAGGATATATAGACGAATTTTCAGTGGTAATAATTTCACGATGATTACTCATCAAATATATATATCCGTGCAGAAATCTTAAGTGTCAAATATTGTCTTACTCTATTTAGCCAAAAAAAAAAGGAGAAAAGAAAAAAAGAAAATATTTTGCCTTACTCTAGAAATTTACGAATGAAAAAACAATATTCCAACGTATAAGCTATAACAGCGTTTTGTACTGTTGTTCTGTGGGCAAAAATATGTCCATGTAAAATATATAGGCTCTTGTATTCGTAAATAATGACTGTTATTTAGTCTTAGTAAATAATGACTGTTATTTTGTTGGTGGTCTGATTATTACCTCAGGAGAAGCCATCAAGTATAAGAACTGGGATGCATTTAGCCCTAAAATCACACTTTGAAGGGTTTTGTTGCCAAATATTTGCACACTTCTGACATGCCACGGTGCATGCATGCATACACACACGCGCGCGCGCGCGCGCGCGCACACACACACACACACACACACACATATATATATATATATATATATATTTAGCGACGAAAACAAATATAGTTGTAGTCATGTTATGACAACATGTCCACACTCTTTACCCTTGTCTTTGCAAAACTTATTAAGCTCTACAAACGTTACATTAAGAATGGTTACCATGGAAACGTACATTATGTGTAATGGAAACGTACATTTTTCTGGCCCTTTAAATATCATTAGCATGCATATATATATATATATATATATATGTGTGTGTGTATGTGTGTAGATGTCTTTTAAATGGTTATTATTTTATGGTAGTTATTCATTAAATAATACGTTTTTATGGTAGTTATCTATTAAATATAAAAATACAATAATGTGGTGTGATAAGATTTTACTTTCAATATAATTGTCATAATTTTTCTTAATCAACTGTTTAATTTATTAAAGCCGTCGGGTCATTATCTCACGGTTAAACAATGATTGTGGGTGCAGTACTATGGACTAGTTTATGTTAAAAAAGGGGAAACTAAATTCCATTACGTAATAAGGTTTCATGGGATAATTTTTTATAGCATTAAAAAAAGTTGCGCACCAACTGTTTTAATCATTTTTTTCACGTCAGTAATTGCATAAAGTATATAGGGAATGACGTATAGCATATTTTTAAAAAAAAACCTGAAGAAAATAGTAGATTTTAAATAAATTTAAAACTATTTAAAATAAATAGTAGTTTAATATGCACATGTTTTATTTATGATTAGAAAAAAAGATATTTTTCATGTAAATTTTCTTCCGACTAGTAAAGATTTTTTTCACGTAAATGAAGATTTTCTACCACTAAGTTGTGTACATATTTCATTTATCATTTAAAAAAAAGATCTTTTTTATGTAAATTTTCTTATAATTTACATGGTAAATTGCTATTTATTTTAAATAATTTTAAAATCTAATAGTTACTTAATTAGTTTCACAAATTTGCTATTTACTACAATTTTCTTAAATTATAATTATTTATTAACAATGACACAGTGCTGACTTTTGGGAGTTAATATAGTTACTTAAAAATTATAATATCACATAAAGCAAAAGAAAATAATCAAAACTAATGTTCTTGAAATACTTTTTTTTAATGCTACACAATAAATTAACTCAAGTGATGATATATTCTCTAAAAAAAAAAAATTTAGGTCAATAAATCAACCCGAGTTTAATTTTATTAGACGATCAATTATCAATAGGTATAATGCTCGACGAATTAACTTGGCCAATAATATTGCATGTTTTGCGAAAAAATGGAATATTAACCCCATTTTTACTTAAAAGGGCACAATCGTTAAAACAAATTCAGAAAAAGGCAAATTCGTCGGTAGACTAGAGCTAGCCTCCATTTTTAGGTGCCTAATTAGCTAGTCTCGTCTGCTTCGTTTTCCATGCATACTAGCTCTAGCTAGCTTAGTGTGACAATCATCAATTTCTTGGGGCATAAAATTAAAAAAAGAGTAAGTTGTGCAGTTTCACATCGTTTGAAGATAAAAATAGATCCTGATTTATAAGGGATGACACCACCTTCTAATGGTATGAGGATTTTTAGGGTGAAGCCCAAAAGTAAAAACTGTGCAGGCTCAGACCCAAAGCAGATAATATCATACCATATGGGGGTACGAGTCATTACACTTAGTTATATCGAACGTCAAAGTTTCATCTAAAATAGGTGCGTCTTTGATGCTCTAATGGCACACTTGATATGTTATTCTAGCTACTCGATCGATCCTAATTCATATATGAAATGTAATTACCGATTGATTGTGAGTATTTACATTTGATTTCATCTTGTTTGTTTGGCTGCTGAGAAAATAGCTTAACAAGAAAGAAAATAAGAATTCGGTCTTGAACTTAGAAGCATTACTTGCATGATTACTTACCTGTAGTAATAACGTCCTTTTTGTAAATCGGCAAATAAAATCTCTTAACAGTACTGACACAACGTCCTTTTTATTATTATTTGTTTTATATAGACGTTATTTTACGATCCGAAATAATTTATTATCTGATAATATGCTTTTTTTGGTTTAATTATAAGCATTTTACTTTTCTCTTTTTTACTTTGGACCAGAATTTTCCGAAAAGTGACATTACGATAGTTAGGATTTTGTAAGAAGTGCCTTAAACTTGGTCCTTTTGAATTTAATGATCAGGAATATTTAATAGTTGAGACCAAGTCTTTTTGCTATTTTGAGTTTCATGAAGTAAATACGAAAAATAACATTTTAACTTCTTAGACGTGAGAATGAGGGATGTATATATATGATCTTACCTTTTACCTTTTTTATTGGATCTCTTAATTACATGCTGTTATTAATTTGATCTCTCTTGGAAGGACTAAAAAAAGATTATATAACTATTGAAAAAAAATTCTCTTGCTGGAGTAGGACATATAGAAAAGTACAAGTTTTTTTTTTTTGTGAGTTTATCATTATATTAATTAGTAGCTTATATTTGGTAAAGATTTAGTACAATATATATATATATATATATTTTGTTGCTAATGTAGTACAATTGTAATTAGGCACCCTGTTTGGCTTCGTTGTTTCTTTTTTTTTTTCAATATATAATTTGTTCCTAATTTTGCATTTCTAAATGATGTTTAATATTGAAGTTAGATGCAAAAATGTTACTTGTTTTCTGTGTCTTTGGATCTGTAACCCAAAATAGGCATTTTATATAATGTTTGAACTGTTAGGATTTCTAAATGATCTAAACATGCTCCTAAGGATCTAAATGGCAATTAGATCAATGCGGAATTGAAATATACGGATCGAGAAAAAACACCTCCGGCCATTGAAGCTCTCGGTGGAAAAACAGAAACTCAGGTTTTTGGTTCTTCTAAACCTTTTCAATCTCTCGTTTGATGGTGTATATTCTGACTGAATGGAGATAGCAAGCTTAGGGACCCAAAACCAATGTCCTCTGTCCTCTTTTATAGACTCTGCCCATCACAGAGTCTTTCTTGGACGCTCGGACGTGGGCGCGTCGTGGACAATTGAAGATGAATGTGAGATGAACGTGACCAATCACGTTCTTTAAGTGGGAAATATAATGGACCACGTTTTGAGAGAATTGTTTCGGTTGGTTACCGAAACTTAAGGAAAAGAAATCCAATATGAACAGTGTCTGACAATTCGCCTGAGAAAATATTCCCACTGTTGCATAATAACAGGGGAGATTTTGAAAATAGTTAAGGGATAGTGTTGTTAAAAAGTTTAGCCATTCTACCAATATATATATATATATAAATGATTCGTAAAACAGTTCAAATCACAATTTAAATTTTTTGCTACAGTATTTTCGTTTACAAGAATTCAAATTCAACATTTTCTAAACATAAATTTATTTTTGAACTCAAATTCTCAACTCGAACGAGCGAAAAGAACATGGAGTCTTACCATATTTTGGCCCCGTTCATTTCACTTATTCGAGTTTAGAATTCGAGTTTTACTATAGTAAAAAGCTCTTAAAAACAGTTACATTTAATTTTTTTACTACAATAAAAAACTCTCATATAAGTCACGTCTCAATTCAAATTAAAAATTTAAATAAGCGAATTAAATGAGCCCTTCGTCTTTTAGACGTGTTAATAATTGGCTGTGAATTACATCTTATCGGGTTTCTTCTCTGCTTAATTTTACCTTATGAACTGAGATTTTGATATATAATAATCATATATTTTACAGGGTGATCACCTAGGTTACACAGCATGGCGAATGGGTCGCAGCATCCATCAGTGCATGAGAAAATCCATGGAATTGGAAAGTCTTACCATAATTCTTCTAGGCTTTCCTCTCACATATCTTATCAATCTAGGCCTGTTCCGCAGTCCTCTGCAAAGCAGTACTACCAACCGGCCAAATGTGCAGGTCATTTCCGCCGAAGCTCCATCGGAGAAAGGCGCAAGCGGTCTGTGGTCTTTGTATTTTCCCGGCATTCTCACAAGAACTGTAGTTGCTCCAATTGAACGTGTCAAATTGTTGATTCAAAAGGCGGCTTTCGGAGCCATACAAGGGAATTACTAACTGCTTTGCCCGGACTATGAAGAACGAAGGCTTCCTTTCCCTGTGGAGAGGAAACACCGTTAATCTCGTCAGATCTGTCACAATCATGGTCAAGATATACTAATCTCAATTCATCTCACTTCCATGCACGTCATAAATTTTTTTTTTATCATGAACGTATTCGTGTATAGATTTTGTAGAACTAAAATAACTGTTTTGTTTCTGTCTTTTCATTTTACCTTTAATAACTTAATTTCTAGTTTCATGATTCGTTATGAAAAATATTACTTTTATATGGCAGGGCTTGGATCACCTGTACTATGATTGGGACTATTTCACGAGGCATTTCGATTTCACGATGAACAAAGACAAAGGTTATGATCGCGACTGGAACCGAATTGCTCGGAAAATGGCAGGAGAGAGTGCTCTTGGTGTTTCATCTCTTTTCATTGTATACCCCTTTGACACGCCTACACTCTGAGGCCTCTGGTTCTCGTTGGCAACTTGGAGGTCAGTAAATCAATATATACCCTTTTGACTTGTGAAGTAGCTAAATAAACATATAAACGATGTACAAGTTTGGCAGGGGATGAAAATTCGGGTAAGTAAGAGGTGGCGTTGTTGAGTTGGAGTGATTTTTAAAACGGAAAAAAAGATGTGAGGGATAAAATCTCATGAGGAACCACACTCTAAAAATCTCCAATTTTGGAGACAAAATTGAGGATAAAACTTTGGTTGAGGAAAACAAAAAAAGGTGGAACATTACCAAATTATTCTCATGATAAAATTTGAAAAAGGAAGAAAAACGGTATAGGTAAAATAGCACTTTAATACAACCGTTATCACCCACCTGCAATACAAGGTATTTAACAAAGGTCATTTTAACTTTTTTTTTAGCTGTTGGAAAAAGGTAATTTTACTTTCTCTTGTCTAATCTTTATTATACCAAAAAAAAAAAAAAAAAAAATTATTAGCAAAATCGTTCCTTTCTACCAAGCAAACATAGTGTTAGAGACCGAGTAAGGCGATCGATATGGGATTAACTCTGCCTATACTCAGGAGACGTGTTAATGATATATAATTGTTGATACAGGATAATTTCTTTGCTGGGGTCATGGTTAAATATAGGGTCATTTTTGGTGCTGCAATGGCTTGTTACCCTTTTGACACTGTGCGGAGAAGGAATATGATGACCTTAGGAGAAGCCATCATGTACAAGAATTCTTGGGATGCATTTAACCAAATCATAAAAAATGAGGGCGCTAAATCTCTCTTTAAGGGCTTTGGTGCAAAAATTCTCCACACTTCTGCTATAACTGTTGCTTTTGTTGGCTGCAGACAATTCTACTTCTCAAGTATATAAGCAGCGGCAGTCGTGACTACTTACTGAGGGCCACAAACGTATCTGCTTTATGAAGACAATAACACAATATTGAGAGATTTAATTTATTGTGATTAAATTGTATTGAACATTTATGGATTTTGAACACCATTTTACAACTTTCAACGTTTTACTTGACCAAGCTTATGAGAAATATAACAGTTGAGGATATGTGGTTGCTTCAATTCTCTCATATTAAAACCTTTTATTCTAAGATTTGTATGATTATTATAAATTTTAGAATATGGTTGTCTGTGTCAATTCTATAGGTTGAAAATTTCTTCTTGCCTGTTGGGGGGAAAAAAAAAATAATGCATGCTATTCTTCTTTTGATGTTCTTCCTCCTACTTTTTCCCGGATAAACTTCAAAAATTATCCCTAATACTTAACCTATGCACCTGTACCGTAGCCTTGAACTTCAACTTATGTAAATTTACTACCAAGTATAGTATCGCCAAATCTAGTATAAAAAATAGAATTACATTTCCCCTAAAAAAACAATAGAATTGCATTAGAGTGGTTTTTTTTTTCCTTTTTTTTTTTATATAAAAAAACTAAGATAAGAATAGCTTTTCTATTCCTTTTTGTTCCATTATCATTGTTAGGATAAAAATTAGCATCATGATCACCACCGTATACATGGACAATATTTTTTAAAAAATGTCAACTTGGATCGACTGAAGTCAATTGGAAGTAAAATCAACTCGAAGCGATTGGAGAAACCTGACGACAAGAGACTTGCGGGAATGGAAAAGTCAACCAAGGAAAATAGAAACTATCCAATCTAAGAAAAAGGGAAAGTAGAGGATCTTCTCCTATAAATAAGGGACGGAGATCTCAAATCAATCATCTTATGATCCCTCTCTTTATGTTCATACCCTCTCTCTCTAAATTCCATTCTCTTCTTTCTCACATTCTCATACTTTATTGTAATTGTAATTTTCTCAAGATATAGTGAAGCTCTGAGACCTTACAATGGATATACCCTGGGATTATCAGAATCCGTGTGTCAATTTATTTTCCTGCACTTTACATTCTCATTCTAGTAACATATCAACTCAAATCGACTCGAATCAATTCACCAACGCGATCAACTTCCAAGAACAACCATTGATCCTCTAAATAAATTTAATTGTAGAATCTGACCTCTATAATCGTTCTATTGTTGCTACCAAAAGCACCCTTTACTAGCTTGAGTACCAATTTACCACTTCACCAGTTATATGTATAATAATATTTTACTTATTATTAAAAAGTCTTGAAAAAAAAATAGATAAAAAAAATGTTTTTTTATTTACTATACTGCAAATCATATTCATGGTTAGTGCTGGAACTTTGGACAGGCTGCCCGAAAATACTGAGTTTTTGCCTGAAGCCCGACCAGACCTGCCTGAAAATTTCAGGCCGCCCGTCCGAGCCCGAAAATGCCCTTGAATGGGCCACGGGCTTGTATTTGGCTGCCTGAGCCCGGCCGGGCAGCCCGAGCCCACCCGAATAGCCCGAAATTTTTTTAAAATTTTTAAATTTTTAAAATTATTAAGTTATTTTGTGTTAAAATTATATAAAAACAAAAATCAACATTCAATAGACATTATTAACACAATTTAATAAATGAATTTTGTATATTAATTTTTTAATTTGTAGTTCATAATTGCCTCGTCAAAAACCTTACCAAGAAAAACCCAATTAGGATAAAAACTTGGCAAGGAAAAAAGAGTGCAATCATTTTGTGACGAATTATAAATTTTACAAACTGACAAAGTTATACAATTACAATGTCAAAAGTAAATACGTATTTACAAATTACAAATTTACAATTTAATTTGAAGCTGAAGGATCGTCTTCAAAATTAAATGTTAATCGATTAAATTCATCGATCCATTCTTGACTTGCCGGTGAAATTGTATCCTGTAGACGTTGATCGGCCCGATTCCAATCCTTAATACAAACCAAGGCATCAACAATGTCCCTTTGCAATGCATTCCGGCGTTCTTAAAGTATTCTTCCTGTCATACTGAAGGCTTGTTCGGATGAAATATTGGAGACTGAGATCGAAAATATATACATTGCCAATCGAGTTAGGATTGGCCAAGTTAATGACTGTGCCCTCCACCATTGAACTAAGTCAAACGATTCTGTCGTACCGTCGACTACTAAGCCTTCACTGAGGTACGCCATAAGCTCGTTAAAGCTACCGCCGCCGCTGCCACTACCACTTGTTGATGAAGATCCACTCCCAGCTTCTGTTTAAGTTGTCTTCTTCTTCTTCTTCAACCCGAAAACATTCAAGAATGAATGCGGGTTTTCGTCTTGTTGTTGCGGTTCATGTACTCTAGAGTTTGTGCTTCTAAACCTAATCTAATATTTACTATAGATCGAATATATTTTGCCTTTATTATTAGAAATTGGTCCGAACAATTGATGCCTAAAAATTCACCTAAGTTTTCTAAACTGCTTTCTAAACCATCTAATTTTAATCTAGGATCATAAATAGTACCTAAACCATACAACAAAGACAACTTAGACCAATATTTTATAAATTTCTTTTCCATAGATTGGATAGGAACTCCTAATATTGGGTCCTCCCTATATTCGCTAAATAAAATACTAATTCTTCTAAGTTCACCTAAAGCTAAAGGTGATATTGGGTAATATGTTCCACTAAGTTTTAGAGTAACTTCATGAAACCTATCTAAAAATTGATACAAAACTTTGGCAATTTGCCAATCATAAGTGTCTATATGTCCTACTCCTATTTTTACACACATATAGTTTGTTATAGCATCTTTATAGGGGATGCATTGTTGAACCATTATATAAGTTGAGTTCTATCTTATAGGCATATCTAACGCTAATGCTCTAGGAGGTATATTTAATGCTTGTAAGAACCTAAACCAATCTTCTTGTCTTTGGTTACTACCTTGAATCCATGCAAGACTATCTCTAATTCTTTTAATGTGATTACCCATTCATTTTAAACCGGATTTAACTATTAAATTAATTACGTGACATGCACAACGTTGGTGAAAAATAGTGCCATCACCGAATAAACTTAAATCATTTTCAAAGAATTCAATTGCTTTTGTATTGGCACTAGCATTATCTAATATTATAGTTATTACTTTATCTCTTAATCTAAATTCATCAATTACATTTAAAATTGTATCATATATTAAATCCGCGCAATGTGATCCTAGAACACATTTAAAACCTAATATTCTCTTATCTAAATCAAATCATTTAAAGTAATGTCCGGTTACAGCTAAATAATCATTATGGACAACGACAGACCAAATATCTGCCATTAACGCAACATACCCGCTAGTCGAGTGTAAAAAGTTTATTAATGCTTATTTTTCTTTTTTAAATAATTTTAATAAATCTTTCCTAAGAGTAGTTTTTGAAGTGAACTGTGCATTAGGATTATGTACAACCTTAATATATCGTTGCCAATTAAGATGCTCTACAAAACTAAGTGGTTGATCTAAAGCAGCTATCATTTGTGCAACTTCCATACGATCTACTTGCGGATCGTATTTCCAAGTAGTTAGACCATCGGTTGTGCGATCAAAAGATAATTGTGTTTGGCGGAGTTCGGGTCCGCCGGATTGGCTAAGCTTTTGAAGACACCTTTCCGAGTGTCTTCTCAAGTGTGTGGTGTCGTGAATAGTGTCACCTTGTAATTTAGATAAACAATATATACACTGAGCTATATGTTTAGTGTTACCTTCGTTGTCGATCTCCTTAATTGTGTCGAAGTGATCCTAAACTGTTGAGGTGTGCTTGCATTTCCTCTTGGAGGTTGCAACACTTGCAGATGCAGACGCAGTCGTACTTGCACTCGCTGTTTCTCCATACCCACCACCATTGCGACCACAACCTCCAGTACATCCACCAGGGCTCGGATTAGTAGATTCCTGCGTAACAAATTCATTAGTGGAAAATTGCCCTTCTTTCACGTTGTGTTGGGCATAAACGAGAATACCACTATAACCAAAAGGATCCATTATAAAAAAATAAGAGCGATTTGAGAGAGAGAGCTTTAGGATAATGTGATAGTTTGTAAAAAAATTATGAGAGAGATTTGAGAGATTGAGAGAGATTAAGAGAAATTGAGAGAGATTGAGAGAAATTGAGAGAGATTGAGAGAGTTTGAGTGAGAAAAATATGTGGGAGATGGGGGGTATTTATAGGGAAATTTTTGGGTTAAAAAGTACAACGGCTACTTTAGGGTTTCGGCGGGTCGAGTTCGGGCTGCAACGGTAAAAAAATTAGCCGTTTGACGAGTTTTCGGGCAGTTTGGGCAGGTCAGACATTCGGGCAAAATCAAGTTTTTGGGCTTATTTTCGGGTCGGGCACCAACGGTCAAAATTTTGACCGTTTCGCGGGCAATTCGGGCAGTCGTGCGGGTTGGCCATTCGGGCAAATCGGGCCTGGCCAGAAAAATAAAAAAAAAACTCCGGCGGACGGCAATTGACGGTGCCTACACAGAAGTGGGCTCCGGCGTGGTGTCCATTTTTGGCTGCCCGAGCCTGAGCCCGAATATATAACTTTGGACGGCCCGGCAATTGGGCCTGCCCACTGAGCCCGAAAAATTCGGGCCTCGGGCCGGCCCAAAGTTCCAACACTATTCATGGTTATAAGTGTGCAAACGTTAATTATTTAGCAAAAAAAAAAAAGTGTGTAAAAGTTAATTAAACTCATGTGTTGAGGCTAAACAAGGATAAAAAAGTCATTTCACAATTTTTTTAAAAAACGTCATTTCAAACACTATGAATGGCTAAAATCGTTTTCTGATAATTGGAGGGGCATTCCCAGCATTTTTAAAAAAATTGACGGTCAAATATGAATCAACATTAACAGTCAACTAATAAGGGTGTGTCTAGAGCCGGTAATATGAGTCACAACACGAAGATACGACTCAAAAATGACACGAATTTTACGGGTTATGGTTGAGAAAAAAGATATTCGGGTCAGAATTAGGTCGACCTGAAATTGACACGAAAAATACGGGTCAAATTCGGGTTGGACTCGCATAACCCGAACACAACACGAAACTCGTAAAAAACTAAAAAATACATATATTTTTCATTTCATATTTTAAACTTTATTATGAACTTGTGATATCATGATAATTATACTCAAAATCTTATACTACTATTTGCTTAATTTCAATGGATGTTATTGTAATTTAGTGTGTTATGAATTTTAAGTTATTTCTAATATGTAAAAAACTAAATAAAAATATAAATTTTCGTGTCAATTTCGGGTCGTGTCGTGTCAACTCGTAAAGTGGTCGTGTCGTGTTCGTGTTGCGGTTTTTAAAAAATTTCGTGTCACGGGTCGTGTTGGGGTTGACTGTAAATTAAAAAAAAACGATTAAAATATGACACAAACACGATACGTGATACGAATTGTCACCCCTAAATGTGTCTATGTAATTTTTTAGAAAAGTCAGAGAGAGTGTGTTAACGTTATTTATTTTGGTCAAGAAGGTGTATCTGTTATTTTAATAAAACACAGGTGTCCGTGTAAATGGGCTGCAATGGTTAAGAGGGCTGGGTTTAATTGAGCCGAAGATACCCCGCTCGTTCACAGTTCATAAGCCCAAGCCCATACTTACACGAGTCAACTCAACTGCCGATTCTTCGACGTTCTAATGGAGAATGGACAGTAGACTATTCCAATGGAGGTGGAGTGGCACAGTCGTTGAATAAGTCGCAAAGCATGGGCAAATTCGTCATTCCGATCAAACCCTAGCAAATTCAGTTCAGCTTCCATTTATAAACCTCTCCTCGATTTGCCTCATTTTTCTCCCACTCTCCCCACTCTGATCGCCTAATTTTCCCCTTCGGAGACCTTTTCAGGTTTGTGATTTTCTCGATCTCCTTGAATTTTTCATGTTTCGTGGAAGTATTTACTTTCCGTTTGTTTCCCGAGAAAATGGAGCGTGAGGAAATTGTTGCGGCGCATTACTAGTACTAAGTGTTCTTGATCGATTTCATTTCATTGTTTTGTCTTTTGAATTTCGTGCAATTGGTAATTTTATATTTATTTATCTCGTATTTTGTTTTGATCAAACGTTTACAAGGTATTTTTTTTTAAAAAAAAAAAAGAAAAGAAAACTGTTTTTTGGTTTGGTTTTTAAAGTTCATGATGTTTTGATCTCTGGAAAACGGATTACTGCTTAGATGAAAATTTCATCTGCTGGCTTTTGAACTGATGATTTCCATTAGGAAACTCACATTTGGTGTAACAATTTTTCATTGATAGAAGTAGTGTGAAATTGATAATTTCGTTTGTTGATGAAAGGGCGTATTTCAATATATTTTGTTCATTTTTATTGTAGTGGACTTAGATTACTTATATTGGAGAGAGTTGGGTTTAGTGGTTTACAAGGTTTGTAATGGTAATTGGGATGTAGTGTTAAATTGATGCAAAGGGAAATTGTTGTTTAGTATTTTCTGATAACATTTGCAGAAGTGTGCACTTGCAAAGAGGACTAATTGTAATTTTGTCTTGATGGAATATTTACCGCCCGGAAGTTTTATACTCTACATTTCGTTTTCTTGGATGGTATAGAATACTAGAGTAATGTTTCATTTCTTACTAACCTAAACTGATGTTTCAGAAGATAAACCCACCATTCATCTGCCCGTGTTTGTAACAAAAATCATGTTCTTTATGTACAGGTCACCGGCTTGGCTTACAAAACATGGCGGATGCATCACAGCATCCATCAGTATTTCAGAAAATACATGGGCAATCTTACCTGATTTCTAGGCTTTCCCCCAACATGTATGCTAGAAATTATGGTGTAGATGTCCAGGGTTCCTTGCACCCAATGTGCCAGAGCACTGGCCTCGCACATGTCTCATATCTGTCTCCGGTTTTTGTGCAAGCTCCATCCGAGAAAGGTGCAACTGGTTTTGTTGTGGATTTCCTTATGGGAGGTGTTTCTGCTGCCGTTTCCAAAACTGCAGCCGCCCCTATTGAGCGTGTTAAACTCTTAATTCAGAACCAGGATGAGATGATTAAGGCTGGTCGGCTTTCTGAGCCATACAAGGGTATCACTGACTGCTTTGCCAGAACCATTAAGGACGAAGGTTTCCTTGCTCTCTGGAGAGGAAACACTGCTAATGTTATCAGATATTTCCCCACCCAGGTTAATAACTTCCACTTTTGTGTAATTCTTAGGAACGGGTTCTTGATCCATTGTCGTTCTGTGTTTTTTGGTAGTTACATAAGGCTGTTATTGAAGATTGTTGCCATCTAGCTATTACTGAGCCCTCTTATATGTGATCTTCATCCGTTGAATTGCACCACAGGCTTTGAACTTTGCTTTTAAGGATTACTTCAAGAGGCTTTTTAACTTCAAGAAAGACAGAGATGGCTACTGGAAGTGGTTTGCTGGGAACCTGGCATCAGGAGGTGCCGCTGGTGCTTCGTCTCTTCTTTTTGTTTACTCTCTGGACTATGCCCGGACACGTTTGGCAAATGATGCCAAGTCAGCTAAAAAAGGTGGAGAGAGGCAATTTAATGGTTTGATTGATGTTTATAAAAAGACCCTCAAGAGTGATGGCATTGCTGGACTGTACCGTGGATTCAGTATTTCGTGTGTTGGTATCATCGTGTACCGTGGACTTTACTTTGGATTGTATGATTCTCTGAAGCCTGTGGTTCTGGTTGGAGGATTGCAGGTATGCTGTATCTTTTCAACTTGTAATTGTCTTTTTCTGTGTACCATTTTCTCTAATAATATTTTGTCAGTTCTTTTGAAATAAGTGTTGACAATGATGCTTTTCACGAAAGTGGTTGTGCTTTTGGTCGCTGTTATGTTTTGGTCTTTGCAGGATAGCTTCTTTGCTAGTTTCTTACTTGGATGGGGAATCACCATTGGTGCTGGGTTGGCCTCTTACCCTATTGACACTGTGCGTAGAAGAATGATGATGACTTCTGGAGAGGCTGTTAAATACAAGAGCTCTTTGGATGCATTTAATCAAATCATCAAGAATGAGGGTCCTAAATCCCTCTTCAAGGGTGCTGGTGCCAACATCTTGCGTGCTGTTGCCGGTGCTGGTGTTCTTGCTGGTTATGACAAGTTGCAGGTCATTGTTTTAGGCAAGAAGTACGGATCTGGTGGTGGTGGTTAATATGTAGTACGATGTTGATGACGAAATCAAAGAGTGAAGTGGTGTAAGTTCTTCTCGCGAGCTGAATAATTTTGAATGAACTGTAGTCACTTTTATGTTTCAGTGTTTAGGAACTTGTTAGAAATCATAGTTACAAGAGGTAAATTTGAGTTGGGTCATGGGTGTTATTCGTGCTTGGATTTTAGAGCGATGTACTATCAGTGTTCCCGTTTGTGAGAATATTTGGTCAGTATCTCGGTGATTTGTGCTCACAAACTCTGTTTCTTTCAAGCGTTCTAAGTATTGAAGTCTTTCACTCTGTATAATTTTCTACCTCTGTTCTTGTTTCCTTTCCTCAACATTTTTTCCCCCACATTTCTGTCATTGTTATATTGGTTTATTGTCGCATAGTCCAAACATGTATTTAGGCTGTCTGAAATAATTTTTAACTTATCTTAAACTTTCCAACTCACTATTCCTCCTGTTCCAGCCTGTGTCGCTGATCTTTCCCATTATTATGTTGTCCTTGAACGCTTAAACATAGTAACACAAATGTTGTTACTCTTAACAAGGAAACAAGGCTTGTCAAAAAACTTTTACGGAAAGACCGCTTTTGTTGGCCTAAAACTGTGCAAGGGGGACATAATTGTGACTTCAAAGTTTAAAAGCTCGCTCATGACATTCCACAGCGAGTTAAGATTTATATCAATTGCAAAAGCTTATATCAAGTGGTGTTTTGATATGGTGTTCAGATTCAGTGGTATTGCTTATTTGAAAGGAAAGTAATGAAGGAGCTCTTAGCCCTATTTGTATGATCAAAACTGGAACAATTTCTTGCTCTGCTATTTATAAAACTGAAGGGTTCTGTGATTAGTGTTGAGGTTCTCCTACAACAGTAGTGTCTATTTATGATCGATAGATATGATTAAAATTACATCAAAAAAAAAAAAAAAAAAAGACGAATATTCTTTAGAATGTATGAATTTTAAATTTTTAACATTTACTCTTAAGAACTATATTAGTCAAAAAAGTATTAATCAGAATAAAAAAAAAAAAAATCTTAAAGTAATACATTTAAAGGATGAATTCATCCATTTTTTCAAATAGAAAAAATATATACAAAATAAACAGTTTCTCTAACGGATATAAAAAGATATATAATGCGGTCTATTTTTTCAATTATTGTTGTTCTTTCCTTTATTTCTTATGCTTTTAGTAGTTTGTTTAGGTTATTGCCGAAGTCAACTTCGGTAGCTTTACTATTTCTAGTTTTCTATCCTCATTTTTGTCTTCAGGTGTTTCCTGATATATATATATATATATATATATTTATTTATTTATTTCTTCGTTTGTGAGGTGAGTGAAACATCAAATTCATACAGGAAAAGAGAGGGAGAGATTTTTTTCTTCTTCATGAATTGGTCTAGAAAAAGAAAGCTACAACTGTTGACAAGTACATCAATCTACTTTCTGATCATTGAAATTTTGTTACCCTTAATCTCCACCGTGCCACTAATAAGTACTAAGAAGTTTATCTCTTAAATTTCAAGAAACTCCCCCATTTTGTTCTTATAAGGGGGGTTGAACTTGAAGCCTTCTGTCTTTCTCCAACTCCATTTCTAACAACTGCCAAGACTCCAAAGGAAGGAGCTAAGTCCTTATCATGCGCATGATCCTCCTCTTCATACTTATTCACAACAACAACAACGACATTCGATTTTCAACCACTCACAAATTCCTCTTATTTAGTACTAATGACCCTACTCAAAAGAGATCATAAAATGCAAAATACAAGAATTTGAAAATCAATATATATGTGTGTGTGCGCCTCTGAAAGATCCAAACCTGTTATATAAGAGAATATATATCTTGTTTGGATTAGGATCAATTTCGGTAACGGTTAACTGTCGCTATAAACATGTCGTTGTAACGTTTTCTTCCGGAGAATCATGATCATCGACATAAGAAATATTTAAGCTCTTGAAAATCGGACGTGAACAACATGATTAAACAAAAGACAGAAACAGAGAGAGAGAGAGAGAGAGAGAGAGAGAGATCTCACCTTACATAAATGTCATGAACAAACAAACAAACAAATATTCACAAAGCTCAAAAAAACCATTGCAGTAGTACTAATATTACCAATGGCTAATTCCTTTTCATTGGTTTCCATAACCAGCCATGCCATGATCCTTCTACTACTAATCCACTTCTCTTCTCTCTTCAACAATCTCTCCGCCAAACACAACAACAACAACCACCACAGCCACAACCACCATGCCTCCGCTCGCAGCCACCGCCCCGCCGACTCAAACCCAAGGCTGCACCAAGCCTTCATTGCCCTCCAAGCATGGAAGGCCGCAATCCAATCGGACCCAAACAACTTCACCACCAACTGGGTCGGCCCCTCGGTCTGCAACTACACCGGCGTCTATTGCGCCCCCTCCATCCACGACAACAAAACCCAAGTAGTCGCGGGCATCGACCTCAACCACGCTGACATCGCCGGCTCCCTCCCCGACGAATTAGGCCTCCTCTCCGATCTCGCCCTCATCCACCTCAACAGCAACCGCTTCTGCGGCGTACTTCCGTCAACTCTCTCCAATCTTTCACTTCTCTACGAGCTCGACATCAGCAACAACCGCTTTGTTGGTCCTTTCCCCGCCATTGTGATCTCTCTCCCGATGCTAAACTTCCTAGACATCCGCTTCAACGACTTCGAAGGCTCCGTCCCACCGCAACTCTTCGCGAAAAAACTCGACGCCGTCTTCCTCAACAACAACCGCTTCACAAGCTTCAGCATTCCTTCGTTCATATCAGGCTCCTCCGCAACAGTCTTGGTTTTCGCAAACAACAACTACGGAGGCTGTCTCCCACCGAGCATCGTCAACTTCGCGAACACTCTAGAAGAACTGGTGCTAATCAACACCAACTTATCGGGATGTTTGCCGGAGGAAGTTGGTTTTCTCTACAAGCTCAAAGTGTTCGACGTGAGTTATAATAAAATTGTCGGTCCGATTCCGTACAGCATGGCGGGGCTTTACCATCTGGAGCAGCTCAACTTGGGGCACAACATGATGACAGGAGAAGTCCCCGATGGAATCTGCATGTTGCCGAATTTGTTGAACTTAACCGTCTCCTACAACTTCTTCTGCGAGGAAGACGGGGTTTGTAGAAACTTGACGTCGAAGAAGGGGGTGAAGTTCGACGACCGGCGCAACTGTCTGCCGGAGAGGCGGCTGCAGAGGAGCGAGAAGGAGTGCAAGGCGGCGCTAGACCGCCCTGTCGAGTGCATCCTTGGCGGTGCGGCTGTGGCGGCGGCAGCAGTGGCTCGGGCAGTGGCTCTACCAAATTCGCCTTCACTTGCGCCAACCCCTACGTGATATAGAAGTCTGCATGAGATATGTTGGGCTTGTGTTAATAATTTGGAAAATGAAAAACAATAAGGTCCATAGTTTTTTGTTTTTTGGTTTTGCAAAGTATAAGTGGGTGTTTGTGATGGATTACCTTTGCTGTGTATAAAGATTGTTGGATAAAAATGTTGTGTGTGATTTTCTTTTGAGGAACTGATTTCTAAAGCTACTGTTTTGACGTACATGGTATTAAAAATTTATGAAAATATGAAAAAGATACGGTCACGTGTTATGTATTAAGATCAAATGAATTTCAAGTTTTCAGACCTTTGAATTTTTTTAATAGAACTAGACCAAAGGAGGATTAGTTCACGATTAAAACAAGATCGTGTTCTTTAAAAAGAAAGAAACAAAAAAAAAAAACTATTGTAGTGTTAGTGGTAATTTATAATTAATCACGAGTCACTGATAATAATTATTGTTTTTAACAGTTTTAGTATCTAAGTCTTGTAATTAGATTTATATTAATGAACAACTCAATATCGCGACAATCACATCACTAATTCATGTATCTGGTCTAGACTGTAAATAATGAAATTAACACTTGCACAACAATCTTGTTATACCTCAACCTCAATACATTCGTCAACCTAAAATAGAAACTTAAGGATTGTTTGGAAAAAAAAGGTTTGAACCCTGTATCTGAGTTTTACTATAATATTTTTTTTCACAAAAATTTAAATTAAAAAAATTTTATTACAACGTTTTTTCTCAAAAAATTTGCATTCTGATTGGTTGAACTCGATCTTCTAAACAAATCCTTAATTGTATGATTTCTAATCTACAAATATTCTTGTGAACAGAACATATATATTTATTGAGCCGAATTGAGTCATGTGTCCTGATACACAATGGTGAAAACCAATGGTTTTAAGCAAAAGAATAAAACTAAAGATTAGAATAAAGTTTGTCACCCCTATTCCTAATTTAGGATTATTCCTCTTGACCACCGGGAGCCTTCCTGCCACTCTAAGTCACCTGCCACCTAATACTATCGTTTTGTCCTCCAAAAAAGGTGCATGATAATGATAGTATCCGACATGGCAACATCTTATCACTGTTTTCATCATGTATCTATTCAAGATGAAATCATTCTTCAGGTCTGACGAACATGCTAGTTTAACTTCCTCAAAGGGCAGCAAAGGATTCTGCTCTTATTCTCAGAACAAGGCCCTCATCTGAAATTTCAAAATATATGGGAATTGCTACTATAGGAATCAATCTTTTGCAGGTAGATCGTTAAAAAATCAATCCATTGATAAACCAATAATTTCTATGTACTTTCTTTTGCAGGTAGAATCAATTTTTGATCGTTAAATTTAATTAAAATCATAATAAATTAAAAAAAATTTGCAGAATAGACAGATCAAAATACAGATGTGACGACTAAAAGTAAGGAATTATAAGTAATTTATTTTTGTTTGGACAGCCCTTTCTCCCTAACAAAGAAGAAAAAATAAATAAAATAAAATAAAGAATGAAGACAATAACAAATAGATAATGAAATGAATATTGAAGTAAAGAGGAGTGCACAATTCAAGTTTGTACAATGAAGATAAAGGTACTTTTCTCAACAGTTACGATACAAGTTCCATTTCTTGTTCCCGTTTTTCCTATTCTTAGTTTTGGAATTTACTCATCTACCACCTAAAGTAGAAATCAGATGGTACAATCAAATGATCAATGGACGGGAAGATGCGTTGAGAGAAGGATGTGCTTCTGATGCGTTATATTATTGTTGAATGTGTTAAATTTACATATTACACATTACAGTAAATACAAAAAAAAAAAAGGAAAAAAAAAATCTCAACTATAAAAGAGTACAAAACTACTGCAGCATCTCTATGACAATTTGGATGTGGACTATGCTGTATATCACCCTTCATCTGAAGGTCTACTCAACTGAATATGAATTCTACAGCCAATCTGAAACAAAATACACATATGATCATAGCTGAAAATGGAATCAACACAAATAAAATATTTTCATCTCAATATTGCGGTACATATTCGGGATGATCAGATTTTCCAGGAAAATCATTAATCAAATGCAAGAAACACAAGGACCAAGAAAAATAAAATAGAAGGAAAAATGAAGAAAAAGAAAGGTTTTGATTGAATTATGTATGAGTTATTTACAAAATTCATGATACAAGTTGTGTATAAAATACACTTATCAATCAATAATTGGTATTCCTAGAGAACCCCCTCACAAATTCCCAAAAAACAGAATTAATAAAGTGTGCATGCCATCCAGCGTTTTACCAAATTAGTGAGTTGGGCATGTCAGTTGATCCTACAATATGGACATAGAAGAAGGATCAGGCCGGTGGTAGCGGCCGCCGGCAAGTCGGGCACTCCATCTTTATATCCATCCACCTTTGTAAACAACTGGAATGGAAGAAATGATCACACGGTGTCACCTGAAAGGAATTAGCAAATTAGGATACCGTACTAGTTGTGACAGTTGAAAAAAATAGAATAACTCATAACTATACCATGCAATCATTTGAACGTTGCGAAAGATCGATCGTGGTCATGCAAATGACACAATCTGTGGCATGACTTGTATCCTGATCGAACCTTCTGTAGTAGCTGTATTTCTCAGGTAAAATCTGCAGACCATAATAAAATACAATGTCCATAAAAGAACTAACAAGGAATGTCCTCAAAAGAAGAAAAGATCAGAGTTGCATTCAACCTGACGAGGAATGAACCACCGTGACCCGAGATAGTGCTGAAGAATAAGAACGGATGCTTGTAGTCCAATAAATACTACCAACCAAGTGCACCAACTCTGATCAGGCTCAATGCGCATGAAGTTGTTTGGGCAACCAAATATGTACAATGGAATCGCTAGCCGAGTTACAGTCATGCCTAAAACGTAATGCGGATGCAAAGGTTTCCTCGAATCTCGAATGACATTGGTAACTATTTGGGGTATCCAAAAAAAGTACATAAGGAGAAGAATAGGTTTCAGGAAATTATGGAACTCGTACATTATCAGAATGCCACCCAAAAGGATCCCGTCTGCACAAAGAATTAATAGTCATATAAATTCATCCATAAAATTCTATTCATTCCATGTCATAATGCAAACAAAGAAAATAATTAAGGCTTACAACTACATGCCAACAGCTAGAGCAAAGATTAAGTCCTATTTTCTCCAGAATAAAAAATTGTAAACAAATTACAAGGTAATATAAATGTACAACAGAGAAGCATTCCTTCCATAATAACATTAGTAGCTTGGAGAATAGAGCTGGACAGAAACTTTGCGATTTGCAAACTTAGTTAAAATAGATAACTTCAACGAGGTGACCACGCATGGATAAAACTTGTATCTCCAGCCATACAAGTGCGTGTCACTTTAATTATCATAACTTAATAAAAAAAAAAAAAAAGAAGAAAGAAAAGTGTCGGTACTTACAGAAACGGCTATATAGAACTGAAAGCTCACGCCTCATTGTCTCCCAACCCTCTCCATTATTCATAGGCCTGTTTGCCTTCCATATAGCAAGGAGATACCTCATCTCAAAAATTGAGAAGACCACAAACTTGAAAAAAGCAGCCGTTGCGAAGGCATTGAACAAGGACTCTGAAACAAGATAAAATAGAAATAATTCTGGTTAATAGGATGCAACAGAGAGATAGTAAAAAACTCATCCAGGTGAAGATTCATCAATTCTCGTTGTGAATAAACGCGGTAATCTCTGATTATTGAGGATGCAGGTGCAATAAACGTAATACAAGAATAGTTTCACAATAAAAGTTGTTACCATATGAACATGACAAAATATGCACTCATTTAATTTGCAACAAATCGTAGGTGTCTTTCTACGACATAAAAGCAAATAAAAGCTTTGACATGTCGGCCAAGGAAAACTCAAAAGCACAAATTATTGCAAAAACATTCCTTTTAGCAGAACTTCGTTTTAGAAGCATGGTATCAAGTGATACATCAGTTTCAGCATGAAACGGCATATATGACCCAATTGACTGTCACTAAATCACTTAAAATGTTAGTATTCAGGTTAGCAGGACACACATAAATGTCTCTCATTGCCAGTTCATACCACATGCCATTGATTAGAATCTTGGTAATAAGCATTCTAATTTTTGAACTAAAAGTGTCATACGGACATAGTATCAGAAGTACAACACAAATTTTCTACCTTCTGATTCAGGGCCAAGGCCTCCATTGGCATTCTTAGACAAATTTCTCCAGTTGAAGGCTGGGGCAGTGCAATTTAAAGTGATTAATCTTTAATCTTAGTTGAAAGGTCAAATGCCACAAAGCTACTGTACATGCATGTAGAATCAAATTCCCTTCAAAGTACTGGCAGCACAGTTCTAGTCTATAATTGTAGAACAGGTTGTCTATTAGCAACTGTTTTATGTTAAAAGTACGGATTACACGATAGTTTTGACCCGTTATCCCCTAGTTATTCCATGATTTGAATAGATATCCCATACTTCAGAGGTCAGAAACAAGCCAAAACTTCTGGAACCAAAAGGCAGCTTAAAACTAGCCATGGTAACGGAATACTATCTTACCAACTAGTATTCCTGCT